GTAATAAAATTACGTAGAATGATTCTGAAGAACTAGTTATGCTAAAATTTCATGACCGATTTTCATATGGTATGCGTCCGACATTGCAAAGTAACCCTTCAACTTATGTTATGTTGAAAATACTGTGAAATATTACAAAATTATACACTTTAGAAAAGTATACGATAAAAGGTAGTTATTCACTGAGTTAAGTCATTTCGACACAAAAAGTGGCAGTATAATATTAATTATATATATGTAAGACGTGAAAAGGTGTGGTTGCTAATATAATTGTGTCTAGAAACACTTATACCAACACAACTCATTGATGACTATAGAAAATAGAAAATCAGTAAATTACTTAAACGTTTGCTGCGTAAGTAGTATGGTCGAGTTATTCATAATTGACTACACCGCAGACTGGGCTGGTTTTCATTTACCATTCTACTAACAGTTATGGTGTTTCAGGCGAGCTAGGGTGAACATGTTAATGTGTCTCCCTAGACTCCGTCTGAACCCACCGGGGCTTCCACGAGGCCTAATTTCAGATGGCAGTGGGCTCCAAAGAGTGCAATATTCAATGGTAAAAAGTTTGCCCAAATGGTTTTTCTGTGGGTAGCCACCGTGAGAAGGTATTCGTGGTTTCGAAACTGATATGATTTAATATTTGCCGACGTTATGGATGAGCTACTGTAACAGTTTTTCCTAATGAGTTTGAAGGATAGAAATAAGTTTCATTTTACTCTCCTTAACCATTCGGGTTCCAATTTCAGTCGTTTACACCTGTCAACATATTCCACTTGCTGGTCAAACCCTAGTATGCCTTTCGTGGGGAATCTCTGGACACCTTCGACTCTTTTTCGGTCTGTAGATTTTAGGTTACTCAATAGGAGAGAATAACATCCAAGTTTGGGGCGAATACATGTCCTATGTACAGCTAATCTTGCTTCTTGGGTGTAAAAGTTAAGAAGTACAAAGCCAGTAATTCGTTTGCAGTCAGATACTGCCTTATTTGCATGATCGGAAAAGGTTAAATTTGGGTATGTTATCCCGAGATCTGCGACTGTTCATTTTTGAGAGGAGGTCACCGTACATATGTAGACGCATTCTCGGTTTCCAGTGTCCAAGGTGGGCTATATCGCACTTGGCTGGATTGAAAGTCAGTTGCCATTTTTCCCTGTAAACGTCTTGACAGTTTAAGTGGTGTTGGATTTTACTTTCAACACTCATGTCATCTTAATCGTAATCAGATACTATCTTGAGGCCATCTGCAAAGAGGTATGGCTTGCCATAATCGATCACAGAGACTGTCATTTATGAATAAGAGGAGTAGAGTAGGGCAGCTTGTTATCTGCTTTGGTGTAGACAGCGAGTGACTGATTGTCACTAATTGCTGTCTTTCTGTGAGGAAAGCAGTGATTTATCTGAGAATCTTTCCAGTTATTCCGTAGGAATGGAGCTTTGTTAGGAGTCTGATATGTGAGATTAATTAAGATAGAATACGCGGGAAGGAGTTAATCAGTTCGTTGAACAACAAGTATACACCTGGAATGGATAATGCTAACCACGACGGATTTACTTCCAAATCTACACCAGCTATGATAAAAGTTTGACAGTGCTCAGACAGTGTGTCCCTGCTTCTGCGTGACAAGACTCTAGGGGATTAGAATGCCCCGATGAAGGAAGTAGTGACTTGATCGTTACCTGGGACGAATACAATTTGCTGTAGCATATAGGAACCCCCAAGTAAAGGGAGGTGTGAAGTGCCTAAATGGTGAAATATGAAATTTGAAGAAATGAGAATGCAGGGCACGCTGACTTCCGACGTGTCTCAAGAACAAAGGTATGCGCAAAATGGTGGCCGGCTGAAGCACATAAGCATTGGATGTTTCTGTGATCTAGATAATCTAGTTCGATTAGAGGGAATATAGACTCGTGCTCAAACCTTGAGTCATCAAATTGCATAGTATTATGAATCCTTTTCATCATTGCATCTATTAAATAAGGATAAGTAATTCAGATTTATTATATTTTGCCGTATTATTGACTTCTGAAAACTAAGAAATGAAATCTAAAACTTCTTTAGAATAAATGCCATTGTTAGCCTACTCCTCTAAGTGAAAATCATCGTTAGCATAGAAATGTATCCACTGTACCGTCGAGATTTGGAGCTAGTTGGCAGCAATCTGCTGGTTCTAAAGCCGTCAATAATACTTGAGTCAGAAGATGATCATACAGCGCCCAGAACACCTGTTACTGGTTAGATACTTAATTACCAGCTGAACTTCAGTGCGACTGATAATAGAAGACACAGCACAACAACAAATATACTTCATCCAGTCAGCGACAGCCAAAATAGTAAGACCGATTCCTCAGCAGTCAGATTATCCGGTTCACAGATGGATAATCTGGACACGATAATCCCTCATATTAGCGTCGATGTGATCTGACAGTATTGCCCTTGTTTTCTTCCAGCGTCAAAGCTGTGGTAAGAACTGTCGCCTCCAATTAAAATGAAACTAGTTGGAATCGACAAGGTCACTGAACAATCTTCCGGTGTTCGCCGATATTGATATGTGCCAAGATGTATTATGATGTCACTGGATTAGCCTTCAGACGGCAACACCAAGCGTTTACCCTGCATTCGAACCATCGTAATTTCACACGACAGAGAATCTCCAAGAATATCAGTAGAATTTGTGGAAAGAGGACTTGGGTAGCTTGTTCGATATTACCCAAGATTAAAATTAAATCTCTAACATGCCTCCAGCGGAAATCAGCCTTTAACCCGGGTGCCATTCACACTGACGCACACTATGATAGTGGGTAGGTGTCGTAAAACAGTGAATTTGGTTATAATAGAAAATTTCGTGATTTTCAGTGAACGTTCTCAGTAAAAAATTTTGTCTTCGCAGACACAATATTTTCTGAAGGGCTCTGAACATACGTTGGATACTTGTACTTTCACATACACACAGTGGGATTTCATCTCTCCAGACCAATCTTAATATTGTAGTGAAGCAATGAGAAATTGCTCATACTTTAGATACTGAGTGGGAAGAACCATGTCTGAAAATGCAAACTTTCTTAAGAAAATGAAGAGGCATTTGACGAAGACATCTTTCACATACCTGATTCTCGAGAAAAATGACTTCAGCAAAGGGGAGACACAGAATCTCAGTCGAAACTTCGAATGCTAACCGATATCACAAGAAAAAATTGTATTGCTTGTTTGCTACTGGTGGCCGCTTTAAAAGTCACAGTGGCACTGCATAAATAACGACTATCTGATTCCAATCGCCTCATAATTTGTCATTCGGATGATCCGGAAATAGTCTGCGTCACTGTGCAGCAATCATTATCTAGCTGTGTGGAGGAAATACTGTAGAACCAGGGCAACAATGACATTATGACGGGATTTAAAATCCCTATTTTATCAAGTCTGGATGGAGAAAGTCATTCTTACCTTCGGCCTTAATCCATTGGGAGCTGCCAGGAGATTTGCCCTCCAGTACACAGAAGACCCTAGATTACGCAGAATCTCTGAGGGTTTCAGACTTTATGAAATTAATAGAGGTAGAAGCTAAGTGTTGTTTCATATGGCTAATAATCACTGATTTCATAGTTGTGTCTAATCAATCATATGCAACCTTTGATTGTTTTAGCATGTCATTTTGGAATACAATGAATTTCATAGGTAGCTTATGACACTTATCCCAACAATCGACTAGAAAATCCTAACAACTACTAAATTATTTATTAAGTAACAAAATACTTTTCATCATGTGATTCAGTTGCTTAGTTATAGTATTTTGAATTCATCATTCCCATTTACCCCCTCTTTTTTCACTGATATCAGTTCATTTATTTGATCCTTGATACACACTTATAATTTTTGCGACTTTATGCACAATTAATGCGTAGACATCTAAATTCATCGTTTTACTTCTTTACATTCTCTCCTGTCTTGCTCTCCTGACTACTATAACTACTACATTCACACTCATTATTATTGATATATAATATACATTTATGTATTTATATGTACATATGTTAACTTCAAATTTAGTTATCAGCCTGTCTTTACGTTTTCTTTAGTTCTTCTTCTGTCTCTTAGTCTGATTTACCTACACTAATTATATCTCTTATTATTATGTCTTTCCTTTTAACAACGATACCAAAGGACTAACTGGTAAAGAGATCAACTCCATACAACAACAAAGTCTTAACACACCGCATACTACAAACAACATACAATTAACCCCAGCAGCGCTCCTTCTGGAGTCAACCAAAGCTACGGCAGTTGAGTGGTGGGATGAACTACGCAGAAGGTTACCAAAGACCAGGAACCCTTACCTCACAAGCAAGAAGCGGTCACAAAGAAACCAAATTGGTTTGTGCTAGCTCGTAAAAATGATAATGGACATTGGAACCGAGCTAAACAGTGACCCAATTTTGGCTCCCCAAAGTTTCCGCAGATAATGATTTAACTATGCTGGAGAAATCGTTAAATATAAGTTATAAATGCTATTATGGACCTACAAGATAGATTTGGTTCTCCAGTTCCGCCTAGATAACTTTTGGTATTTACACCTCCCAAAAGTTTTTCAAGACATTCTGTTAATTCACTAGACTTTGACTATTTAACATGATTAGTCGCCAGCTTAGGTCGTTGTGGTTTACATACATTAGAGTATTGTATGGCCTTAGGCCCAAAAGTATCTTCATTGAAGTATTTTTTGCCTGGGCATCTTAAAGGTAGTTTGAATGTAGCCGTAATCGTGTGTCAAAATGCATGCTTCCTTCCAGAAAACCAACTCATGCTTAATTCAAAGAGTTGAAGCAGTAATATGACCAAAATTGACGCCCAGCCTTCAAATTATTTATAACTGTGAAAGCGGACACAAATAGGCCTTCTAAACAAATTCGGGATCTAACAAACATATTGAGTGTGCTTTGTTTTACAGTTTTCTTCCCGCGTGTTTTGCGGCATATTGAAATTGCTGTTTTATGTTATCGTTATGACCTGTAGACATAGGGCAAACAATTACTTTTTCGAGAGACCACCAGTTTTGGAATATGTTTCAAATAATTCAAACAATCTCAATTGCGTTGATTGTTTGAATTCTGTAATTTGTAACAAATCTCTTGAAATAGATGTTCGTGATGCATATATCAGCAAATTCTTAAAATATTTCGAGAGTTCAAAAGTCCATAATGAGCCGGTGGTTTGCAGACCGAGTATACTGGAAAAATTAGTGAAGAATATATTGGGTATGACAGTTCTTTTATCAACAAAAAACTCTATTTACAGTTATTCTACCAATGGGCATGTCTTCTTTTGCTCATGGGATATTGTCAGGTACTTATGTGTTCATATAGAGAAAAAAGTTTAAAATACTTTAGTTTTGAAGTGTATTTTCTGTACTGCCAGTGAATCAATGAGAGAGAATGTCATGACAAATCTTTATTACCAGGTTGACAATTCCTCATTAAAACTTATTTCCAGATCACTTGTTTATCTGATAAAAACAAGGACTACACCTGCTATTTAGAAGCATTCTGCACTTTGCTGGATGATTTGACAGTTCGTGACGTGCAGTGCACAAGTATTTCCAATTCATAAGTTTTACGTCAGACACTTTAACAAATTTTGTTTGCTCTTTGCTCAGAGTAATATACTCTTCTCTCAATGCGTCCACTATTCATTATATGAATTCACTTCTAAAATACCTGCCAAGAGGATGTCTTGAATCAGTGAAAATTTATGTGAAGAAGGTTTTGGAAGTTATTTTGAAGAATAAAAGCCACAAAGTTGTGGAGGCAGGATTAGGTTAAGTCTATTTCTTTAGTTATTCTGATGTAGATTGCCTCCTGAAACTCTGTATATGCAATGGAAGCTTTGTCGATATTTGTGCATGCAGGGAGTTCCCGGTTGCTTTGCGTTCTCTGCTCAGTTCCCACGATGAACTTATAAAAGAAATAACGATCAATTTTATCAAATTGTTACTTTGTACATTTGGAGAAAGGGCATCTACGTTCGTCTGTACTTGTGGAGTTGTTGGTATGTTCCACTTATTTAATATGGTTAAGAACTTCTGTTTGATGCTATTTCACCTAAGAAGCCTTACTACAAGTAATGCATTTTCTTCAAATACGAACATAATTTCAGTACCATTTTAAAGTGCTTAGAAAGTATAGGCCCACGAGCAGAAATTATAGCTTCTAGTTTTCTGCCTTATGGTAAGTTCATTCACCTTGATTTAGTATGGCAACATTGGCAATTTACTAGGAATTTGTCAAATCATTACAATTATGAATTCACCCCAGCAATATAGACCCAGTGTTATTTTTAGAAGTATAAGCTTATTAAACACCTTTATTGTGCAGTAAGTCTACATATAATTACTTACTTACAAATAGTTACACTGGTGCCGTAGATTTATTCATATCTCCATCAAGCTTCAAACAACTATTACTAATTATGACTGACATTTTGGAAAACTGTGATGCTGAATTAGGACTGGCTGGAACCATTTGTGTAGCTAATGTCTTCAGGTAAGTGGTTCATGCAAAATTATTTGTAGGTATGGGAGACAAACCAGTGATGTACCAGTTGAAGAGCTGAAAAAGTTCCTGAAGTCTGTTGGAAATGTTTTATATAAAAAATGTCATGATTCAAAGCACAGTGTACTGAAATCAGCCAGCGAAAATGACGAACATGCTGAACTAGACAAAGAAGTTATAGGATATTCTCCACTATGTTCAATACTGGCTGTTACGTCGAGTTTACTGCACAGTATGCATAGGTAGGTTTTAAAAATAAATAATACATTTTTAGCTACTTATACTCTGGGAGGAACATACACTTAAAACAACCTGAACGCATCGTTGAAATCGAACTATCTTTGGCACATATATTCTTCGTAGTAGTAATGAATGCTTTCTGTGTAGGTTGTTTTAATTGTCTTATACTGATATTCTTTCAAAGCATTTAGACACGAAGAACATCACTTTTGAGTTAGTATCTACACTTATGGAAGTAACGGCAATGTACACGTATGGTGTTTGTCAAAATGTCGTGGTTGCTGAAGTTACCAAGTCTTGTAAACAAATGTATAGACATTTTGAGAAATTTAGGGGCTGTGTATCATACTTTTTAGAGAATAAAATTCTTAAAAGTTTTAGCTTACTACTTCCATTTGTCTACAAGATCTGCTTTTGGGTTGACGAAGAGAATTTTGCCAATGCTTCCAGCTGTTTCAGGTAATTTTTTCCTGTTGCATCAGATAAAAATGTGTTTAGTATTTTCAGTCACAAAATTACATACACTACGAAAGAAGCTTTATTAACTATGGTGACAATAAACTCCAGTACATTCAGCAATCTCGGATTGATTTCAGAAACGACTAAAAGTTTAGCAAGTTTTCTGAAAGACGATGACTTGATTACGTGGGCAAGTCTTTTACTTCACGGGTTTAGGTATCTTTCGGGTAAGTTCTAATGACAACTTTGTTGTGGAATTATGTTTTCAGTAATGTCAAATATTTGCCCTTAGCATATGAATGGAAATCAGTAATGAAAACGTGTACATTAAGAATCCCTACATATTCGTTTACTGACCTAAAACTAAGACTTTCGGTCAAACACTGACATAGCCTTCTGAACCTAGGCTTATAAAATGCCTAGAAGATATATAGTGATGAGAAAATTAAATTACCTAACCGGAATGTTTCAACTCAGAGATGAAACTTATGATTTAAAGATCGTGTTATTATGGTGATTGTAATGTAGATGGAGACTTGTAAGGGGTTATCAGTGATATTCAAGTAGAAAATATTTCCGTGTCTAACAAGGCTTTTTTTTCTCCACATAGCTAAAAGAATAACGTTTGTGGTAGGTCAAGGTAATTAACAATTATATAATGGTCTACTGAAGACAGAAGCATGCAGCGGATCTTATGGACTCGGAGGCCTTGTTACGCTATAGGGAAGCTGTAGGAGTGAATTCAAATCGTAATGTGCTTTGATACTACGTAAACAGAATTTTGGTAAAATATTATTTCTATGTAATATAAATACTTAACAATTGTTTAGTTTGCTGGTCATTGAACTAGTTTATATCAAGAGTATCACCGTACCCTGACTGGAAGATACGAAATGAAAATTCAGCACTCTTAAGAAATTTTACAAATTAACATGCCGGAACTCTTTTAGCTGTCGCAGAAAAGAGCGAAGCTTTCTTCATGTATTTACTTGTTTGTGTATTTTTCATCTTCCTCTATTCTCTGAACTTCATTTTTTTCTCCTCCTTCTGGTAAAACATGCTTTATAAGTTATCTTGTTAACTGGAAATGGGTTAGTACTGAATACGTATGGACGAATTTAACAATTTCATGTTTGAAGTTCCCTAGAACTTCAGATAAAATGCACACACAGACAAGTATTTACGCTATATTTTAGGATCTTTTGACCGATGCTCTTGGAACCCCATGAATAATGTTATGTTCCCTTCATAATTTCAGGAGCAGATTACGAGTATCTTGGGAAATATTTTGGACTGGATTTGCATGAAGAAGAGTACGTAGATATTTGCGCTTCAGCCATTTCAGTCATTTGTACTCTTCTCAATCGTGATATTGACTATATCGACAGCTCAAATACAGTTAGCTCAAATGCTAGTGAATATTATAATTTGAGGTTTTTCAAGTAAGTCATATGTAAAACTAGTTCGGTTTAAACATTTAGCTTTATCTGTTGATAAAAGTTTATAAAAGTGCACTCAAGAAAATTAAGAATATATTTATTTGAATTCATCTATCCCTTTAACTACCACAGAATGGTTTACATCTTTGGACAACATATTTCATCAAGTTGTACTTATTCTCATGTTAAATGATGTATGAAGTGTGGTAAGTAGCAGTGTATATACACTGAAAAAATTTCATGCCGTCAAAATGTCCTTAAAAATCCCACTAGATAGTCTCATGGGTATGCACATCAAATTTCTGGGAACTTTAAATCGGTTTCTTTAAATCGGAAATACTACAGCTGAAAACTAACAGACTGAGTACTAATGAGAAGTGTGCGTCGGTGGCACAGCGGTTAGGACGCTCGCCAATCATGCATATTGTCCGGGTTTCGATCCCCGGCCGACGCACTCCTTTATCTCGCTAAGCCAGTAATAGAACTAGCAAAGATGGAAGGTTGGGCATGAGGCTAGCAACCCTATCCTGTAAACATAAAGACTGCTACAGAAACTTCAAGCTGACTCTCGCTTGAAGCCCTATGTTCCACTGGGAACGTGAAGGAATAAAAGAAAACTAATGAGAAGAGGTGACCAGTCAGATTCATTAAAGCAGAGACATGGTGCTGATACCCGCCAATTGGTTGTATAATAATCACACTGGTGCCATATTGCGAAACGTTTGAGGTTTAAAGTCATTGGCCATTAAATTTCAGCGGAGTAGCTAGGTAATGATGAGGTTTATTTTTTGTATAGTCGTGAGTACGCATTTCTGGAAAGTTCAAAGCTATGAGAAATAAACTATCCAGTGGTCCTTGGTTTTCAGATATACTTTGAAAGGTTTTGACTTGTTGCAAAATATACTCTGAAACAGAATCTTACTATACCTCTAGTGTTTCTAGTTGAAATACGTTTGATTATTAATTCTGCTTTACTTTATCTCATGTAATGAGAATATCTTTTTGAATTATCAAACTTTGTTCAGTCTAAATTGACTTTTTCAGGTTTACAATACAGAATGATCCCTATAGTAGGAAACAGTAAACAGTAATAGCCCTCACGGTAGTTGTGATACTTAACAAATGAAGTGCTTATTCCAGCGTTAAATAACCCTGCATGAAGTATTCCAGAGTGAAAATTGCTCAAAGTAGTCGACCAAGTATAAGTCATGTCACAGTCTCAACATAACATGCATGTGGTAGTTCAATTGGTCGTAATTTACGTTGGCATCAGTTACCTAGGTGTCCCAGACGTATCAAAGCAATTCGCATACATATATTCACCCTGAAGGGTCTCGGTCTTACTGGCTTCCCCAAGGTTGTTCCGCTGAATCTTGAGTATGGTATCTATTCTTTATAGCTGATACGATTACTTCAGATGATATTAGATCCAATGTCTGATATTTTTATCGAAAGAGCACATCTGGACTGTGTGGGGCTGTTTTTGTATGGATAGCAGGTATCTGAACCGAAACAGATGGGGGTTTACTGTTGATGCCTTCTGAAGTTTTATTACTGAACTGATGAATACCTTTTCTCAAATGACCTGAATTGTAAGTATGTCTAGCCAAGATAAGCATCAGCATTACAACCGTCACCAAAGGGAATAATAGTGAAAACATTAAATTAATTTCCAACCGTAGTTCACATTCTTTTAATTTGCGAAGAAAATTTCATTATTGATTTTTGTAATTTAGGCATCGTGTTACCCTACCGTGCGAAACATTCAAACTGATTATACAATTCCCCAGCAAAGCAGGTGTCAACTTCTTTCAACGTATCCCAGTTCTAGTCACTGTGGAATTTCTCATCACATATACGGTAAAGTGATACTTTATTACGTAATTAAGAACAATTTTAGTGTTTGCCAGGAATAGATAGTTCTTTGGATCATTCTTCCATCAATGATGAGTATGAAAAAGGTACGTCATTATACATAACAGTAGCGTTTACCACACCACTTTTAACCGAACCTGTGAGATATCTAATTAAAATTTTACAACAGTTGAGGCTTAAATTGGAGACAATTTGTTGTGAAACCTTCTTGGAAATTCCAAATATTGTAACTCAAACTATTTCTCTCTATAAATTTATGTAAATTATTTTTTCAAATAACTGATATAAAACCAGAAATACCAACTGAACTGCAGCGTACAGGGAGAGGGATTACGCAGTAATATAGAAGTAAGCACCTAGATCTGGTCTGAAACCAGTTATGCTAGTTCAGATTCCTGGGTCAGAACAAAGACCCTAGTAATAATAATGATGATGCAAATAGTAAAGCAAATCACAAAACAGAATACATAACTGTGTAGTAAGTGGGTGAATCGCTACCAGAGTATAATGAGATTGAATACGGTTTTGTTTTTGCCTACACATGTTAGGCTTAAGTCGCTTGATGGCATTAGACATCTAAGTGAAGTTGGATTCGTCTGTTTGCTGATGCTTCTAAATACAGTTCGGATATCCACCTTATTTCTTTATTCGATTACATGTTAGCTAATGGTTGTGGTTAGGGGCTGGGGAATGTGTACAAAGAAAAGAATGGATACCATCCATCCAATGTACTCCCTCCGGTACGTAGATGTGGATTTATAAACTCAATTGAAGTTGATTTTAGATGGATACCTGTCAACCTTCGATTGATAAAGTGCACGACTAATGGTGCTGTGAACACGAACAAGTTTAGCTTTCAGATAAGCTGGATTAAGAGTAAGGGGCTAATAACATTCTTTCATGACACTCTAAACAGGTTTGATTGACTTTTATAACAGGCTTATGACTTAAATTTTCTGTAAAACTCCATATTTAGCAATTTCTGATTACCACTTCATTGGCCTAAGTGTTCAGACACTAGCTGTTTCATTAGTACTTCGCAAATACAGTTATGGTACATTACCTCCTGCTATTTAAGACTTTAGTATACCAAAAATGTCCTCGAGTTTTCTGTAGATATTAGATGTAATAAAAATATCCTGCAAAACCCATTCTCTCAGTCTTTATGCGAGTTAGTGCAAAACTCAACAAATATATACATAGGATATAAGAACACATAAAGTTGAGTCCACCCAACACGTAATCTTCACAGGCTATGCTAATACTAGTTGAATACACTGATATCGGCTGTGAGCAGTATGCCGTTTCAATTTATTCATAACTGCAAATTTTGTTCAGTCAGGTAAGTATTATCCCTTTTCATCAGTCTCTCATTGCTCAACTCGAAACAAACAGATACTTATGTAAAGAGATTAAGCAGGATTTTTTCAAACAAGCGTATACCATGAATTCTGTCCGTGTTTTTTTTGCGTATCTACACAGTGCTGGAAACTATGCCTGTATCAGAATTGATGGGCACCTTAATTGACATTGTGTTAAACTTCTTTGGGGGTAAATATCGAATTTGGAGTTATTATCAGCTTACACTTACTGCTTTTATGTTTTAGGTTCGAATATTTTATCTTCGGCACTGTTCGATCGCCTTCAACCTGTACACACATTGGCTTTGTTACGCACTCCAAATTTTGCTAATTATTTAGAAAATTCAAGTCCATGTTGGATCGAAATGGCTCAAAAGATTGTTAGTGAAATGTTTTCAGTTTACTGTTGTTTACTTCACTGTAAAGCTGTGGTGTCTTTTTTTTACTTTAAAAGAGCATCTCATGAAACGGGAGAACATATTAAGAGACCTGGTAACAGAATTTTATTAATGAAAAACACATCATATTTATGCATTCCTGACCACATTTATGTTTGGCTAAGTCAGAGGAGAATGAATTCTTCTGATTGTTAAACGAGATTGTCCAGTGTGGTTATTTCACGACTACAGCGTACATGAAATCCAGACTCGGGGAATAAACATTTCCGCCTCCGAAACCATTGACTTAAGATGTTGATTTTAATTCTGACCGCTTCCTATCAATCTGCATCGCGTCATGCTAACACTTTGTATAACAAATATAATGTTAATGGGGTTGAAGGATGGATTGTTGCTAACAAATACGATATATATATATATATATCGGAGTTACTATTCGATTCTTAAATCATTATAAGCCTTTGATTGGTATTTAATGGCGAAAAGGTTCATGAATGTCTAAGTTTTTTAAATATACATCCAATTATTAATTTGGTTATTAAGGTTATGAACTTCTGTGGTAAATAAGAGATGAAGATGACGACCCTACCTACATTCTTATATGCTTACTTAGTGCTTATAAAATAATGGCACTTGAAGATAAGACCAATATACTTTGTGAAATTTCCTATGTAGTGAATTTCGTGTCGGTTTTAATGCTTTTATGTCAGTGTAAAATTATCTTCGCTTCAAGATAACTCGTTTATCATAATATTAATATGAGTCTTGACCATTCCAGTGTGACAGTGATGATTTAGTTGTAAGTCAGATTCTGTACTCTGTTTGGTACAATTTTTTCAGGTAGACGTTTAGTTTCAAATCTACTGAGTAAGTCTGTACCATCGTGGATCATATCATACTGACTTTCATTCATCGGGAAATACAACATTTTTATAATGATGAACACGGATTACACTGTCATAAGTGTTATGGCCATAGTTTTGCACGTAAGTAGGTGCTTAAGGAGCAGCAATCCTGTGAACGTCAAGTCTAACTAGATCGCCTAAACAGTGTAAAAGGCAAAGGGTGTGTGTGTGTGTGGGGGGGGTAAACACTATCAAATGGTGTTTCCCTACGTTGATATTTCCAGTTACACATTTCTTTATTTATGATTTAACTATCATTTGGCAAAAGTTAAACAAAAGCTCACATAACCAATAGTTCACTGAGTAGTTATAACGAACCCACTATTCAGGCCTGCTACAATTCAATTAGAAGGTAATTAAATGGGAAAGCCACTGATAGTCATAAGATAAAAGAAGTGAATATGACTTAAGTATAGAGTGTGATGTTATGATGAAGATAACAAAGCTGGATTGCACCTGCGCACATCCGTGAGGTCGACTTCCATTCATATTATCGACAATTCTTAACTATGAACTTCATCTGTCAAGTATACCTCAGTTATGCAAGATATATTTGTCTGTACACAGCTTAAACAGGCAGTCAGTGACTTCTCAGATTGATAGTATGTCTCATTCAGGATGCTCCTGCTTAGTTAATTGTGCTTCATAGCAGGTTAATGTAGAAAGTGAGAAAACGTGCTCAACGCATGTCTTAACAGCTAACGCAAGTAAATTCAATAATTTGTGTGTTTGCAAGTCAAATGTATACAGTGTCAATATATGATTTATTCTTATTCTTATATTTTAGATACTACAGTGTCATTCTGATGAATTATTAATCGATGAAAAGGCATTCTTACTAATTCCAACAACATACACTTTATTATCTAACACTTGGGTGAGTGCATTAGCAATCCGCTATTTTCAAACTGGACAGCTTCCAATAAAACACATTCTTTATTTAATGCCAGTTGTAGTCAGTTGCTGTATAATCAGCACCGATGAGTCTCACAATATTTCCTTATTCTGATGGACTCATCCAGCTCGATAGCAAGTAGACAACTGTTCAGCTGCATTTAATCAAGCAAGATAATTTCTACACTTGAGCTTAGTTCTATTCCTATGTGAAGAAGATTACAAAACCTAATCAAGGAATCTCCTGACACCTGTAGAGTAAATTTAGTAGGCTAGTGATTTTGGAAAGATGACTAGCCACTTATAAGTACTATATGTATATCTCAGGTGTGCAACACACATCCAGTATCGGATATACGAGATGCTAGCTATTAGAGCCTTTTGTTTAATCTGATATAGAGTCTGGGCTTTGAAAGCCCCAACATTACTGTGTTATCAGAGAGACTATAAGCTGTGTTTTCCAGGTGAACTCTGATAAAGTAGTCACAGAATTCACAGCTAATGAAGTAACTTCCTATATATAGTATTAGGAATGAGAAAGAATGAAGAAGATGAAAGTTGGAGATGAACAGAGAGATATCGTGTGCTAATGGGAGTGTGTAAGCGGCTGCTGCCTTCTGATTGCACTCGACGCGGACGTTAATTCTTTCCTGCTATATTTGAGAGAGGAGAAATATGCTATTGAGTAACTAAAGAGCCCAGTTGAGGGGGTGGAATGCTTTAGGCTGATCACACGGAATCTGTTTGAAGACAGGATTTTATGGTGCTCTGTCTCCGCAGAGCTGCCGACTGCCATAGACTAAGTCAAAATGTGCAATTTTGGGAAGTGACATTTTCTGAAAGCTTCTCTCTAGAAGTGGAAGGTTGGGGATGTTTTTGGTGACTGTGTGAGAAAAGCACTTTACTTCTGTTACTAAGATGTGTCTCAACTACTACGATAACTTTATATTTCAAATTTATGTGAAAATTCTTGTCAATTTTCAATTTGTAGACAGTGTTGTACAACTGTTTGTTGCAAGTCGACAATTTTGATGTACTTCGACGTTTGGTCATTACTTTCAAAAGACGATTGATCATGTTGCAGGTTGGTTAGCGTATTTTGTGATTTTGAGTCCTTTTATGCTTTTGTTCAATATCTTGACTGAAAATTGTGGATTTTCTATCGGAAACAAAATAAAGCTTATGGTTAAGCAATTGGGCACATTACAATTGATTTTTACAGTAGACTGTTTCATTGAATATTCGGGCAGTGATTGATGAGGTTAACGGTGTGTTTGTTATTATTATGAATTACATAAACGTCTATACTTCAAGTGTAGTATACACATTGAAGTAAGTCCCTTTCATCTATTGTTGTCGCTAAACGCCTTATTTTATGTGTTAACTTGTAAAGTAGTTGAAGCAATTAGCGAACCGGCAGGTAGTGTCAAGTATTCTTCAGTCATTTGGATACCTCAGAAAAATGTATATTTATTAACACACTTCTGTGCATTTAATTGATTATTTCTGGATGAACTGTCTTTTGTCCATCACTTAACTGGGTATACTTGTTTGGCTTTTTGAAGCGACACAATTCTTCTGAAGGATGTGGTGTCTTTTCACAGTACATTTTGAACAAACTGGTCACACATTTATCTGTCCGAAATGTATTGTGGAAATGCATCCCCTTTTTCAGATAAACTGAGTTTTTAATAATGCTATCCTGGTTGTCTTAATTGAGCATATATTGAGACACTTTTTTCCTACTGAACCCTACTTATTAGTTACATCATCCAATTAAACAACTTTCGAATAACTTGAATTTGTGGTAGGTTTTTGAATATTTATTTTTGTCATGAAAGAAATACAAAATACAGGGATATTTTGAAGGCGTATACAACTAACACTGTGAATTTCCACTGCGCTTTCTTCGGAATCTCATTTCTTAAGAATGTCAATTTTAATTACAATTTCTTTCACAAGGAACAAGGGAAGCCAGTAGAGGGTTTGGAGACTTTTGAAGTAGAGAAAAACCGGTTCGCGCTTCGTGTTTGTGATTGTCTTTCAATGTTGCCGAATAACCTTCCAGGCTCTTTCCTTGGAGTCTTCTCTAATGGTACGTTGTGTTTACGAATCTTGGCTTTTAAATTCCCCAAGTATTTTATATTAAATTCTTCAGTGTATAGCAGTAATAATAAAGCTTTATTTCAGACAATATGTGAACACAAAGTACAGAACTTTTCAGTGTATTTCCTTCCAATATATTTCCTCTTCATATAGGATTCACAGGTAAACTAATAATCTGAAGTATATCATGTGGTGTAGTGTTGGTGCTCATGAACAGAGAAACAATTCTGTACATTTTTTTCGTCATTTTCTTCAAAAATTGCACAGCGTCCTTTTGAAAACTAATTAAATATGCGCGTGAATTCATGTAGTGACCATTTCATTATAAAACTGCGTGATTAAAACAACAAGAAATGTAGAAGAGGAGTTTCAGCAGCATTCTGACGGATGTGAATTCTGGTCGCCCAGTGATTTAAGCAGACCACTGTGCAATATTTGGCTCCCATGTGGGATTACAGACAACAACAAACAACAAAAAGCTTAAATGGAAGGAACCTGAGAAGCATCGTTTCAACTACAGGTGGAACTGACGAGCATATAAAAGCAAGAATCAGAAAAGCAAGACAAGCTTTCACTACTCTCAAGTCTGTGTGGACGTCAACAGCACTCAGCATCAAAAATAAGATCCAGATTTTCAACTGCAATGTGAAGTCAGTGCTACTATACGGATCAGAGACTTGCACTGCGCGTCATGAAGAGCACCTAGAACAAACCACAGACCTTCATTAACAGCTGTCTTCGCTCAATACTCAAGATCAGACGGCCGACCAGAAAAGATCAGCAACAGAGATCTCTGGGAGCGAACCAACCAGGAACCGATTGTGAAACAAATAGGCAGGGAGAGATGGAGGTGGATTGGATTGGCCATACTCTGAGGAAACCATCAAGTGACATCACTAGACAAGCCATTGCTCCAGTGGAAACCGAAAGGGAAACGGCGAGTTGGTCGTCCAAGGGTGACTTGGAGGAGGTCATGTAAAGAGGAGATGAAGGCGTGTGGGCAGACTTGGAGCCAGGTGAAGATTCTAGCAGACAACTGAATGCAGTGCAGACGCGCGGCTGAAGCCCTATATCCCTCTAGGAACCAAAGGAAACAATAATAATAACATGTCGGATTATGTCAACACAGATTCAAATTTATCATTGCAATTGAGAATTTTTCGAGTAAAATCATATGAGAATAATTCAATCATAACCGAAAAGAGTACGCAGAAGTCATTGTCGATTTGTGATCGAAAGAATGCCTATAAGACTAAATCTTGCGTAATTCTACATACCTAATTAATATGCTTATTCCAAATTGACACAATTCTTATTATTAGAAATGAGACTTTTGAAGTAATATGTAAGATAAATAAATGTTCAAGATATATTTCTTTATATTCTTTGCTATATGCTTCAAATTACTCTGAACACCACAAATATTTGATACAGGCACCGATTGGATATTTTCCTGGAACACAGTAATTATTAACATTTACAGTCATTAGTGTAAAAAATGTAGGCAAGCTGAAGAAAATACACTTTTCTTTTAAACAAAAAAACCATTTTGCTTATGAAATCCTTAGCTGATGAGATTCTTCAACTGACACATTCGATTCGCACGCGTACTATTTACTGCTCTTTTGATTAGCAAATTGTGGTCACAACATTAACCAGTAGCGCTAAAAAGAGAGATCTGTTTCAAATGTCGCCAAAATAAAGAGTCACAGTTTAATTTACTTCCATTTTTTCCTGTAGTACCTATTGTATATCCTTTGTTGATTTTAAATATACAGGGAGAGTGTAAGTTGACTTGACATCAGGTTGTTTCTGTTTTCATAACGCATTCGTTCTATAACAAGAAATAGTCTGTTTCCATTATGTTGATAAACATTGACTTATCTGATCTTTTCAAGACTAAGAGGCTGTTGAATTACTTTATTTACAGTTGATCTAAAATGTTTGTACGTGAAGATATTGAAGGTTGTCTGCACACAGTTGTGCGAACTTTTCCTTAATACGGAATTCATTATGATGGTGGCACAACAAGGTATGTTCTTCTTGTTCTTCATCATCTCCTTTATTATCCACCTGTCAAAATCAACTTTAGTGATTGAATTTTTAGTAGATGATCAGTGTATCGTGACATCTGAACTGAGAACTGATCTACTCAAAATACTTTTACACCTGTTGATGAATAATGAAAATGATGAGCGATTACGGAGTGAGTGAATATAATTTTTTATATTTTTATGTTGTTGTAATAATAAAATATCTTGTCTTCTTAAATTCATGTCACTTTGAAATCTAATGTATAACACAAGTGTTAGCAGTTAAACGATTCAAAGTATTTTCAAGTATTGGTTTTTGTAGGGATTGAGTTTGATTGGTTGGAAGATTTCATCATGAGCTGATATCAGTTAGAGAACCATTGGGAAACCACCTAGGAGTACTGGACAGCTGTTTCGACCTGTTTTGGGTCTCTTTATCAGTACACACCTACCGGAGTTCGAACACAAGACCTTATGGTTACAAGGCGAGCTCATAGACCATTGAAGGTGAGGCAGTAACTCGTCGAAGAAGACATTGCGAAGTGGTTGGGCTATGTCATGAATTGGCAGAAGTTAGAATTCATGGGCTAGCCAGTCGATCGGATCTCAGTGGCTTAATGGTGTACGAGCCCGCCTTATAACCAGAAGGTCCTGAGTTCGAACCCTTGGAGTGGGGTGGGTGCATACTGATGAAGAGTCCCAAACTGGTGGAATGAAATAGCCGTCCAGTACTCCCAGCTGGTCTTCCAGTGGTTCTCTAATTGATGTCAGCTCATGATGAAATCCTCCAACCAATTCAAAGTATATAATGTATTCAGTATATAACCTGATAATATTTCTACCCATTAAGTTGTCAAGTATAACTTTTGCGTCTAGTCAATGCTCAACACAAAACTGTGTCGATAATCTAATAGACTTCTAATAGCAGTGGGAACATGAAGATATTGACAACTATAAACTAGACTCTGCGGAGTTTGCCGTAATGAAAGGTGTATATTTTTGTAAGGGTAGGATGAAATCGACAGAAAATGTTTTAGTTCAGGCTTCCTAGGGACTACCACAGAACTTTTGGAAAGATCTTATTCATTCGAAATAAATTCATTATGCCAATATTTGACCTGGTATGGTCTTATTCACAGAATGAACTTCACAATGTAACTCGTTTTCCAGCATCTAATCAGTTATTAGTTCAGCAAAAGGTAAAAAATTTCGTAAAACAGGAATCAATTTCATGTCTACTGATTACCAGTTTTCGTTCTACTCCTTTTTTCTCTCTCACTTAGTTGTGAAATTATTATGTTCGGAAATTAAATACAAAGATAAAAGCATATTTTATTTTACGCAAAACACAATTAAAATGTCTCCTGCTGATCGCTTGAAAGCACATTGTACAGAGTTTCGGATCACAGACGTAGAAATGGATGCTATTTTAGGAATAGGAGCTTTGGTGAATATGTGCACAAAAGATATATCAGTAAAGTGTGAATTAGCTGATTGCCTTAAACCCGTGAGTTTAAATACAGTTTGTTGTTTTTCTTCTTGAAGTTCCACTTATCATAGTGAAATTCACAAGTGGATTTGTAATATCACCATGTATTGTTGTTGTTATTTACGATTATTAATTCTCCTTTTCGCATTATGATAAGAAAGCGAACACCACACATGTACGGGGTCAGAAAGATGATCTGTCAAATTTTATAAACGTCTACATCAAAGACGAAAGTTATCATCCTTGTTATAGCGACATGATCGTGACTCGCAGACTGATGTAATGCCAGTTTAAAGCTAAGAAAGATCAAAATATACCATCGGAACAACAACAATGTCTTCCGAAAATATTGTACAGAGACTTAAAACAAAGACAAAGTCTTATAACTAGATGTTGAACATGTCAATGAAAAAGTCATATTTATTTCTGACTTTCAGCTGAAATCCAGCCACTTTTAGCCCAACCATGTTCTAGATGAAATATTGTCATTGTCGAATAGACAATATAAATTTTTCCGAATAGCACCATTATGCATATACCGCATGAATAATTACTTCTTATAGCTTTATTAATTAGCTAAAACTATTAACTGTGCTTAGGCAGTTTATTCAAACGATCATGCAGGAGAACTGGAATGCAGTTGCATACTATTATCGCAGTTGTTTTAAAAACGAAATTGAATCTAACAACTGACATGTCAAGATGTAAATGAACTTTTATGTAACAGTGTTAGAAAAAGAATACTGCAATATAAAATATATAAGAGAAGAACGCAAGAAAATAGAATCATGTGCAATTGAAAACTGGTGAGTAGTTTCAGTAAGTGAGAGTTAACAAGTCAGTGCCATACAGGTAATAGTATTACCACTCAGAATTGACTGTAGCTGGTATAAGGCGATTGGTGGGAAGCCCTGAACCCAAGTTTTGTGTTTGTTGGCACTCGTCAGACACCTAGAAGAGACTAATGCCTCATTCAGACACTCATACTCATATCACCTACGAGCTTACAGACAGTGTGTGCTGATGAGTGCCAATAAGGATAAGAATTACATCCACAGGTTACTGCCAATCACCTCCTGCCACCTAACAACTGCAAACTTGATTGAAACAATTATGTCAGCACTAGTAATAAGGGAGTAGAAATGTATCATTGGACAAAATCTGGTGACCAATCAATAAGAGTAGCTTTTCTAGTTTATTCCACTAGTGAATTTCTAGAATTTATAGTTATTCAGAGCTTATTTTATTCCTAAAGTTGGTAGACTTAACAAAACCTGCAAGCTTCTGGCTTTTGTTCGAGCTAAATGTTTCTTGAAATAATCATAGTTATCGACCCTTTACATTGCCAATAACCATTGAAGTAAACCTGGACGGAACACTTTTCAAAATTGGCTTTTTGAGTTAAATTTCAAAGATACTTTATTAATGGATGTATTCTAACTGAGATTCGTACAGTCATGTCAAGTCTGATGAGGAGTTGTTTTGTGAGCTAATGATAACTGCACACAATCTGCAGTTGGATCATTTCCGTGTGTTGCAAACCTTCCAGAGAAGACAGGAGTACTAGAATTTAGCAGTGGTGTACTCAGACCACAACTTAATCCATTTTTAAATAAATAAGTTTTCAGTTAAGCGAAGTTCACGACCAAGAACAGAAGCCTTTTAATAATCAATTCTTGATTGTCTGATGCCTATGAGTGCATCACAGTGTTGTGTTTTTTAGCCAGACAGTTATACTGTACACTTGACAGATACACATGTATCTTCCAATGATAGACCAGAACCTCACTGCTATGTTTGTGAGTAAAAATTTCTTTCCTCGGAGAATTCAGTTTTAGTAGTAAAATCTACCTGAAGAAGCAGCGAAGACGGCACTTCAGGTGAACACAGAGAAGACGGGGGTGTTGAAGATAACCAACAAACCACAACAACAACAACCAGCACCAATCCCCATCAACGGCAAAGATTCAACAAACGTAGCCTCCTTCACTTATCGAAGAAGCATCGTTTCAACTACATGCGAAATGGATGAAGATGTCAAAGCCAGTCAGAATTGGGAGGCAAGATACGCCTTCATTAACCTGAAATCGGTTTGAAAATCTTCTGCACTCCACCTCAGCATAAAGAACAAGATTGGATCAGTCACATCTTCCTTGGCAGAGGCATCACAAAAAGCATTTTTAAAAGGTCGCTGACTTTCATCAACAGCTGCCTACACTAGCTCTATACTGAAGATCAAATAGCGGCCAGAAAGAATTAGTAATAAGAAACTCTGAGAACAAACGAACCAAGAGCCGACAGCTCAACAAATATGTAGGAGTAAATGAAGATGCACCTGGCATACATTGAGGAAACCGTCGAATGACATTGCGCACAATGCAGGCCATCGCTCGAGTAGAATCCTAACGGGAAGTGACGAGTGGGTCGTTCTATGGTGACATGGAGGAGATCGTGTAAGGAAGAGATGAAAGATTATGGTTAATCATAGATCTAGCTGGAGAGGATAGCAGAAAATATAAGATAGTGGAGATGTGTTGCTGAAGCCCTATGTTCCACTGGGAACCCAAGGGAATAATAGTAAAATCTTTTAATTCACACTACAGTAACATACACGTGGAACCTAGACTCACGATTTTTTGTCGATTGATTGTTAACAAACAACTTGTTCTTAGAATCAGTCGCCTTAGTAACTTTCTACGTTCCACAGCTGATTCGAAATGTACAGATAAGATAAATCCATTTAATGAAGAGACTGATTCGATGTGATTCTTTATACGGAAATACCTTAAGCTAATCACAGGTTTGGAATTTATTTTTAATATGGAAGATTTTCGTGGAAAACCTGATTAGCATGCTTTTCGCTTGCAAAATAGGGTGTGATTTAAACAGAGTCTAAAGTTAAGGACACTGAGTAATACTTGTACCGACTAGAAATTTTTTTCTACCTCACTCACTTCAAATTGAAGTATGCGCTGAAGATGTCACCTAGTGGGGTGATGAAAGCTTCGCAAATTAAGTATCCAGCTGAGAGAACACAACCACATCAAATTTTTGTTCTACATTTCACTTTCTAATGACGAAAAAGTTTCACATTTTTTAGTTAAGACAAGAAATGCGATAATAATAGGTTTTCATTAATGAATCCAGTGTGAAGACACTTCATGTAGATTTGTAAATATTATGCATAAAATATGATCACAGTTTGTGGAGTCGTTCCCCTGTTGTTTTGACGTGTCAAAAACACTAAGTTTACTTTCATAAAATTTGCACCTATCTTTTATGTATAAAAATTAAAATGGCTGCATTGTCTTTTGGCAGTTGATATTTATGAAGCCTGAAACGATATTAGCAGTTTTGAACCATGATTCAATTGCAAGTGGGTCTCATTTTACTAAAGCCAGTGCGCTTATTTGTCTGTCGGAGTCATTATATGGTGAATTAGCTGAATTTCTGTGGCCAGACTTACATTCAGATGAGGACTATTACTGTGAGGTATGATTATTTGTCAAGCGATTATGTTATTGTATTTTTGATGATTTTAAGTCTAATAAAATATAGTTATATTTCAATAGTTTACACACAATGATAAGTTTTTGTTTTTTGGTAATATTTCCAGCAAAATTACTGCCCATGATCACACCAACTGTTGGTATTCTTTTTAATTCCATTAATTAAAAACGATAACGACTTCATTCCATATAAGTGGGACATTCTCCCTTCCTCATACTTCTTTAATGAATGAACAATTCAGTCAGTTTTCTAAGTTGTCAGTCACCATTATCGTAAAAAGATCTGATGGTAAGTTTGGTGGGCCGTGGTACATAATAGCGCTTTTGTGCAATGGAGTTCCCTTCTTCGTTTTGGGGGTCGGTATTAACTAACTGTGTAGCACTGTGACTAGTGATGTTGGGTACCGGTGCAATGGACCAACTGAATTGTTTTTCAAAGAGTTCTGTCTGACGCTTCAGCCGTCTCATTAGGTTGTTAATCGGAGTAAAATCTGCCTAACGGTCCATGTAGCTGAAACAATGCTTCTTACAGTCAGTAGCTCAGATGAGCTGGAACATCCACAGACTGTTGTCACATGCAGCTGCTGATTCCATCTCACACGCACGTATTGACCACCAACCTTTTATATCTTTACATCAGTACTGACTGGCTTCCTGAAGACTTCCATCAGCCCTCGTCTCCGCGGTTTTAGCGATGGACCAGTTCACTCTTTATGTTTTCCTAGAACTTTCTGTGACGACCAGACTGATTTTCTGGGGCACGTTAGCTAGCCCCTCACCCAATCTTTTCTTTTCTTCTAGATTTAGAATCGGCTGACAAACTAGGCGAGGTTTTATCATATAAAACGGATATTACCCATGTGCTGAAATCCTTTCCCGTGCTAAATTGCATTCACTATATTTTACTTGTAGTTGCTAATGTGCTTAGTCAGCGGAATCATGGATGTGACTCGAAGGTTTGCTCAGGAATTGTCAATTGAAGTGTATGGTTGTCTCATCAAATATGTATATATAACAGCCAAAACGCAATCACTTATCAGTAAGTTGTTCTAATTTGTTCACACAGCAAAGATTTTTTCCTGATGGCTACTCCATGGAGCAATATCATCTTCGAGTATTTAAAAAGTGATGACTCAGCGAATCGTGTTTCAAACTTTCCCATTTCTTTTCTGAATTTCGTCGATGTGGTAGGAGCATTTATATCTTATATCCTATTTTTAGCTGTTATCTACGAAAGGTCCCGCAGTTTATACAATTACCAATAAACGTCAGCTCAGGAAATTATTAATGGCATATATTCATGACGAGGATTCGCAATGTTCAGATTTTAAGAGCCTTCTAAGCAGCATATCTGAAAAGGTAAGTACGCGATTTCGAGCATATGAACTTGAAACAAAATAAGATTGCCTATCGTGAATTTGAAGTTTTAGATGACGCGGATCAGTTTTGTCTAGAAGTTATGCTCGATTCAGATGATAAACTGCCTGCCGCTAGCATTTCTGATCGTTTCATTTCGTTTTACCGAAAGGTGTTTCTACCATGATATTTGAAAATTATGAATCTTTTTGGAATTTTGTAACCCACACGCTTAGTTGATAAATACATTTTGTTAAACGTTGTAAATCTTATCATTTTGCATTATATACTAATCACGGAATATACACATTGAATCATAGGAACAATTAAAAAGACTGCTGCAGCGAAGAAAATTTTCTTTTCGACGAAGTCATCAACTAGGCTGTACATTCGTGTATTTATGACAAATGGGTGGGAAAGTTCCAGACTAATTTCCGGTCAAGGGTCAATTTAATAAAATTACAACTAGGAATTAAAGTGCCCCTGTTTATTATGGCAACCGTCTTTTTAAATAAACTGATCACTAAGCTACGTCATTTTACTGAAGATATTTTTTGGCCGGTAAAATGAGGATACGACAGTGTTGTGGGGGTGAATATTCCGGGAAATTTGAGTTTTGCGGTCCAACTTTATGTATTGGTTCAAGTTTGTTTGAATAGAGTACTGAGCATGTGCTGCCGCATGACTTAAAATTTGTCAGTACAGAAGAGCTGTAACAGAACTATCATATACAATTACTGGTTGCAATGAATTAAAAAGACTCCGTCGTTAGTTATAGCTTTTGAAACTTAGTGCACGAATAGTAATCTGTTTAACATACTAATTAGTGTACCAAGTGTATGACATACAGTAGTTTAATATTGTATAATATTACATTAAGGTGGACAAAACTACTTCTTTTTTTAAGTTGTACTACGTTTCTTAATTCATTCAATGTTTTTCGTGGTATGTGATTCCATAATTTGTGTTACCAACTGATATCAATAATTGACTTTTATAGGCGATTCCATGAACTTTTAGAAAATTATATAGCCGAACAGCTTTGAAGTTATTATGTCTTCAATTCAGTGTTGACATTCCCATTAATTGTTCGGCTTCAGTTGACATGTTGCCTCCTAATGAGGACACGTGAAAGGTGTCTGAGGATTAACTTGAAGTAGTTTGGCGAATGGTAGCTAGCAGAGGAATCCAGGATGCGCATTTCCTCTTATTTGGGATCACTCGTCAGCGGAATGTATACAGTGAGTGATAGTATTCCCCACACCAACACTAGAACCCAATGAACCCATCGTTTAAAATATCAAAGCCTTATCCACTAGATTGCTTGGGCCGCTGGATCTCACTGTTAGTCACCACTCACCAAATAACGATTCTGAAGTTAAGTTAAGAAAAGATTCTTTTTTTTTACTTCAAATTAAAGTATGCGGTGAGGATGTTGTCTAGAAAGGCAGAGAATACAAGTACGCCGAAATCATCAACTTCAGCTGCAAATCTTCTCCATTATGTCGAAAAGAATCTTGTTTGATGATCAATATCTTTTTAATTTATGTCTCATTAAATGCTGTATTAACTCTTCATAATCTATTGACAAGTCAATCAATTAGCTGTTGCTGGATAGTCTACGAGCTCTGTTTTTAACTGAAAGTCAGTGAGTTCGAATCTGAGTGATTGTGTACTGCTGAACAGTCCAAAAGTAGAGAGAAGCAACTGTCCACCACTCCGAGGTTTTCCGATGGTTCTCTAATTGATGTCAAGTCGTGATCAAAACTATTGCTTTTTGTCAGTACATGTACAACATTTCACCAGAGAACATGATTTCTCTATTTAGAATGCTGCTAGTAATCCTAACGAGTAGTCGGTAGAACTGTAAACTCACTACATTCATACCAGTATCATGTTTATGAAATACTTATTTCGATAAATAATCGTTACTTCGTCCCTTTAGATACAGCATAAGAAACATTAGGCCTTAACAGCAAGCAGTATATCTGTATTTAGCCCAACCTATTTTATTATTACAGCGAATACCCGATTTGTGTTGTTTCACTAAAGTGTAGGCAGACAATTCCTAAGATTACTAAGGCTCGATGTGTGATTTTTACTCTCTTGATACCTTCGATACCAGTTTCATCTCTGTTTATCAGTTATCAAGGACCAAGGACCTTTCAGTTACAAGGTTAGGGAGCTCGTAGACCGTTAAGCCACTGGGAACCAATCCAATGGTCATGAATCCCAACTTCTGCCAACTGACGAAATATCGCAAACATCAGCTTGTGTCAACTTGGACTAAACATCTGTCCAATACTCCTAGGTGGTTTCCCAATGGTTACCTAACCGATATCAGCTCATAATGAAATCCTGTAACCAATCAATTCAAATCCCTTCAAACCAACAACTGAACAAATGCTTTAGTCTTTTGGACATTGTGAGATAGCTGACTTCACTACATTTCTCTTGTTTGTCCATCTTTAAGACAAAATAATGTATGTATATACCACAAGAGAACTTGATCATTACTACAGTTCACTTGACTACAGTCTAAATATTCACACAAATACCAGCTAACAACAATGAGCTTTCGACAGCTTCCTAATGAATTTTCCTCACCTTAACTAATCAAAGAGAAAACTCATGTGGATGATATTAGAATGCGTATTTCAACAAAAAGGAAAAGAATAATAAACATATTCAAAGCGTTACAGAAACTAAGCATACAGGAGTTCAGCTCTACCAAAATTGTATATTCTGTTTGGCTTTCTGCCCATCTAACATGTATTTATTATCTACACAATTTGAACTCTGGCTGCTTGACTTCTAAGTGATTCAGTAGTCGCACTTAACACTCCCAATAGGCGATAGCTGTTGAATTCGGATAGTGTCATTAAAAGACGGAGATTATCTGAAAAATGTTGTGATGTATCTACCCGATATACCTTTCGAACAACAGTCTGATCCCCCAGACATTTACTTGTCAAGTCAGTTTATGTGAAAAATGAAAGGCCGATTAAAATACACAAAGTGACAAGAAGGATTTAAGAATGATAAGAAGAAGAATAATTAACACAGCGTTTGGCTATCTGATTAGATAAAGATCACCAAGGTATGTTAAGAGTTATGATAAATTCTTTTTGAACACACAGTGAGGTGCTTAAATTTGCAAATAGCTATGGTCCCAGCCCATTTCACTAGAATATACGGAAACTACATGACGATAAGTTAAAATGTGTTGTGAGAGCTTGATGGTTTAATCGCCAAGTCCCTCACCCCTGCCAACTGTGTCTGCATTAACAAATTTTTAATGCTGTTAAACTACTTTGGTAATCCTTATCTAATCAGATAGCCAAACGCTGTGTTAATTATTCTTCTTCTTATCATTCTTAAATCCTTCTTGTCACTTTGTGTATTTTAATCGGCCTTTCATTTTTCACATAAACTGACTTGACAAGTAAATGTCTGGGGGATCAGACTGTTGTTCGAAAGGTATATCGGGTAGATACATCACAACATTTTTCAGATAATCTCCGTCTTTTAATGACACTATCCAAATCGATAAAAGGGACTAATTGTTTTAGATAGCTACTGACACATCTTGTATAGCCGTCTACCCTATTTTCTTATAGTTCTGGCTACTTTAATAGCATTTTTCGAGTAACATGCAAGCGTGACTAGAGTTATGGCAGTGAGGTGTAACATAGGACACAGGTATAACAGCCAAAAACAGTGACAAAGTAGACGAGGTCAAGAATACTTACTTTGGAGGATGTTTCAGTCTGAACAGTACAGTAGATAAATGAACCCAGCGTATTCATAGCATCATGCAAAATACCTTTCCGTTAACTTGATAGAAAACTTTTTGAAGCAATAAGTGGGACTTATCAACAAGTCAGTGTTTATTCATATATTCGACGATTCAATAGACGGTCCTCTGTCATTTCAACATCGTTATCGTGTAGTAGCAATGAAAAAGGAACACAAGAAAATGCTTTATTTGTGAAGTACTCTACATACAAATTAAGTATAAACTAAATACAACATATGGAGTTGTTTAAAATCACAGTATCAAAACTCACCGGAGATACAAAAGAAAACAGAAATTAAAACTAGAAAAATTGTAAAATGATGAAGTCAGTACAAAGAGGGGAAGACTTAGAAGCCTTAAAAAATACTAATAAAACACTTACGAAAACACTGGCTGTGTAGCCGAATTTTACAAATGTGTCAGTTTAACCTTTGGGTTTTTGATTCTTGTGTGTGTAGATGTGTGTGAGTGTGTGTGTGTGTGTGAAACTCCTTCATTAAATTAAATACACCAAGAGTCTTCAATCATTCGTTTAAATGTATCACAGCCATTGACAGTCTCTTGACCCAAGAAGTAGCTTTGAGCACATTCACTCGAAGGAAGTAGTGAACACAAGTCCATATAACTAGCGTTTGACTTCAATTGATCCACAGGACATTCTCCTAGAGCAACTGAAATAGCTTGATAATAATTTTCAAATTCTATGTATTCTAAACGATTTCGAATACTGGTGAATTTTTCGAAGATATTCAGTAGGTCCAGCTGTGAATGTGCTATGTTATTGCCTAAAATCAAATGAATTATTAGAAAATGTACATAAATTCTTCCAACAAATTTAAATTATTTAGGAATGCCAAAATGCAAACAACTCGCTGAATTAATGACAAAGTCGAATATTTTAGGCCTTAAATTTACAACGATCGCTCAATATCACTTTCGATGTTCACTTTAGTTTCCTCCTCTGAAATCAACTACCAAGCACGATATTTCTGAAGTTACCATTTAATATAATGAGAAAGTTCCAGAACTATTTCCGGTTAAGGGTCAAGTGATTAAAATTGCGAATAGGGATTAAAATGTAATAATAAACAGGAAGATTGGATGAAACACATAGTAGGATCATAGTTACCGAGAGAATTTAATTTATTTTGCAGTTAGGGAAAACGGTAATGTATATCTGCTTCGGTAACAGAACATCTGGCGAACTCAGGACATTCATCTCCATTCATAAAGTTCTTCAAAGTCATATACAAGATCCCATCAAACCTCTCCTGCAGAGTGAGTGAAATCAAGGCATCTGCCTGGGAATAGCTAAGTCACTAGCGACCCAAAAGTTCAAGCAGCCTACCCTATGTATGGCCATCATAAAAAGTCAATCCTCTCAACAG